CGAACACCAACAACAACACTACCATCACCACCACCACCACCACCACCACCACCACCACCAACAACAACAACAACAACAACCGGCGCTCCGAGGCTGAGGAGCAACTCCTGCTCAAAGAGTGGGATTTCACCCGTTTTTTCCAAGGTTTTAACGAACGATTGGATAAAATGAAACAGCAAGAATCCTCGCAAGAGTCGTCGTCGAGCGCAGAGGCGAGCAACAAGCCTCCCTCCTCCGTTAACGAGAATCACCTTTCCTCCTCGTCCACGGAGAAAACGTTAAAGAGGCAGGAGCAATTATCATCTCGCAGAAAGTACGATAATCAACAACAGCAACAGCATCATCAAAAGCATCAGCAACAGCAGTTGAAAGCGGTGCACAGACGGCAAGAGAGCGACTCGAAGCTTGGAAACACGTCCAGCGCTTTTGCACGCGCTTTCCGCCGTGAGAATTCCGACTTTTTCCCATCCGCGAGGCACTCTGCATATTTACAGAAGTCGGACTCCTCGAGATCGAGCATATTCTCGAGCGGTAACAGGCGTGGCAGCGAGATAAGCGTTGCCGGTATCGCCGGGAAAAAGGGGAGCGCTGTGAGCGCAGGTGAACCGATCCTTACAGACTTCTCGTTCGGTCGTGACGGTGTTCAGAGGCCTAGAAGGGAGAAAACCGAGAGCGAGATCGTTTTTGGTAGTAGGCACGAGGCAAGAAGGCTCGACTTTGGACGCGATAAAGATGACACCGCGAGGAGACGATGTTGTAGGCCATCAGATGCGGTTTCCGCCGCGGTTGACGAAGCGGGAACGATTAAATCTACGGCCAGTACAACGGCTAGCGAGTACAGCCCCATTGTCACCCAGGTCAGTCCCCCCTATCAGCCCTGCCTGTGTGCTTGCCTGACAGATATATTATATACCTATTTGCATCACCTTTTATTCTCTACCTTCGATTTTATTCTCTGTCCATATTCGCGTACCAACTTCAACATCCTAATGTTAATTATTTTTCGCCAACGATTATCGTCTACCTTGCCAAGTGTCTGTCGATGTTCCAAAAGAATAATTTTTTTCTTTCGTTGCATCGAAAGTGCGTGACGATATTTTTTTTTTTTTTCCTCTTTCTCTTTTTTTTTTTTTTTTTTAAGAGTGTACTGTTCATGTTTATAATAAAACATTGCGTCGAGAGTGGTTGCAACTTTCACGCTCAACGTAATGCCCATTGGTAAGAAATTAATTTTAACTCTTGAAATATATTTGCACCCTAATGA